GGGGGGGGGGGGGGGGGGGGGGGGGTGTCGTAAACATCAACCACCTGTCCAGAAGGTGCGCCCTCCCACATTAGCATCGAGGCACCCTCCGTCTAGATGCTCGCTAATAGAGCGGCGGGTAAATAATTCTCAAACGCGCCCGGCTGCCTTTGTCACGAAATTTTGTTTACTATTCCGGCTTCACCGCGGAATAGTGGAGCACACGCCGACATAAAAGATCACTTTCCCGTCGCTTCGGTTAAAAACCACTACCCTGCAGAAAATTACTAAGAGCACTGAATGCGCCAATGTCTACTAGCATGCATCCGTGCTAACTAGCGTAGCATTGATGGCTACCGATATGTCTATGCAAACCATATAGGGGTCCCTAGATCCAAGGTCAAGGGACCTTGGACTGTGGGCCCCTGTAGGACTTCATAGGCCCTTACAAGCCCTTACCTCATTGTAGGGTGCTGGAGCGGCCGTCTCCATGTACAGCATGTTGGCGCTGAAGTTGAAGAGTGCAGCTGCCGTGTGCTTTGCTGACTCCAGGGTTTCTTCGCCTCGCGTTCCCCCCAATCTGCTGGGACTGCAGTCTGCAGATGTAATCGGGACAGGCGGGCTCTCTATAGAACTGTGGGGGGTAGGGGGTGGAGTGGCAGCTATATACCGGGAGTTAAGGAAAGGGGCGGGCCATCTAGCTACCTGTCCAATCCCTGCACCTGTCCACACCCTACTCGGAGAAACCAACACTGTCTTCAAGTCCTCCTGCAAGAGTGGCCTAACCCTAGCCAGCAGCTTAGAAAAGCATATCAAGCTGTGTGTGGAGACAGTCTGCATGTGACACCCCAATATACTAAACTCGAAACAAGATCTTATCAACAATTCAGCATTCATCAGAATGGTGGATGACCTGAGCCATGTCCAAAAAGATTAGGCACAAGTGATTGATCGAGTTACTGACTCTTGTACCATAGGGCCTCAAGATACAGTAAGATCTTTCGAACTAAAAAGAAAATGAAGAATTTTTTACCTTTATCTCAAGCCGTTTCTTCTCAGTCTACTTGTGGCTCAGAGACACTGTGGGGAAAATGTTTTGAAATCCATTAAAACAATTCTTTACAGTGCAAAATGTTTCTGCATTCTATTCACTGCTTAGAGGGTTGTGAAAACATGAACATAACAAATGATATTAGTTACTCCTGAATGTAGCTTATGGGGTACATGAGATGCATTATCACAAAGTTGTTTTTAAGTAGAATTCTCAGAGGTGAAGGTTGCATTTTCATCATCCATTGTAATAATCCAGGAGTGAAACCTCACTTTGAGTTTACCTTGGTTCTAAATGTATGTTAAACACCTTGGAGTAAATTACAGTGACCTTTCATCAATATGTTTCTCCCCGAATCTCTCCATTACAGCAGAGCTTCGCAGAGATGGACGTCAGCTCCTGTTAAAAGAAGGTACTGGCAAATAATTTACTGAATTTACGTCGCCTTTACCCAGAAAAATAATATAAACTCAACAACCTCTTTAAAAATATTAATCAGCTGGACTCAAGCCTTCACTTACTCAACAAAACCTACATTACTTATGCAGATAAGAGCATCAAAAGCATTTGTCAACAAATTTATATGAAAGAATTATTAATACAGTGTATTGTGTCATGTATATTGCATTAAATGCTGGGTAATATACCATTTATGTAATGGGTGATAGTCATTGGTCCATGTTTTGAGACTCTACACTACAGCTGTCCCCAGGGTCTAAGACTGATGTTAAAAAAGCCTTTTTTTTGGAGGTGACCACCTGAAACGTTAAACTGTCCCCACCCTGCGCCCCTCTCACTGAAAATCGCACTCTCCTCTTCTGACCTCTGACCCCAGTTCCCAGAGCACTGGGGCCTATAGGATCGCAGTGACCCAACCCTGTCAGCCAGCCTCAGGCCACCCTGACATAGGCTTGTGGGGGGGGGTCACACAAAAAGTAAACAACCATTAATCCCCCCGCCCACCCCAACAGCCATGGCACTGCAATCACCGGCTGCAGTTCAGGACACTTAACCTGTTTTCTACACAAATGTTTACTTATGGGGCCTTAAAGCAGAGTTATATGTGTCCAAATGGGTCGTGGTCAGTGAGTTCTAGGGCAGCAGTTTGATGATGACATATTTGCATAGAAAATTTTTGCAGTCTTTATCTTAACTGTTTTCCATTTATTTCTTAGTCTGCCTATGGCATTGAAGAATATTATTACTGCTCTTCTTTTTGCTATTGGGTTAATGCTTATGATTATCTGATTATCAGCATGACCTGGCTTTATATTAAACACGAGGCATAATCTTATACATTGATTTGCTTTATGCAAAACTAAAATCAAGGTTACCTTGTTACAATTCAAAATAAATTGCTATCTCATCATATTACTTTACGCGCTGGTGAAGAGCATCAGAAATCCAGATGCGCATCTATAAAGGAGAAAATAACCTAAAAAGGACACAGACTTCTCAAAAATGACACAGACGTCTCCTCAGAATGGTAAAGACAGCATTACGTGGGTATTGTGCATCGTTATCGTCTTCTGCTCTCTCGCCATAACCACTTTCAGGATATGCCTTTTCTGTAGAGTGTAATCATAGGGCTGAGAGTTGGGGGGGATAATCCATTTCTCATGCTTCTGCCCCGAGGCCACACCGATCGAGCTTTAACACCCCCACCCCCTCAACTCCAGCTTTCCCCAGCCACACCCAGACCCGCTCAGGCTCCTTTGCCCCCATGGGGCATTTGGCGCTCACCTGTCTAGGGCCAGTCTTACATCCGCTCAGAAAGGTTGCGGACCCACTCGCACATTCCGCTCCCTGTGCGTCTAAAGGCTTTTCTTTTTTTGCGGGGTACATGGGTTTTAAGAAGGCTTACGAACTGCAGCCACTAAATCCATGGGGCTTTTCTGCAAGGCGCAATGCTTTGTGCTGTTTAGAACAACACGGTCACGTTAGTCAAGAGGTGGGAACAGTCTTTATATACTGACTCTAGCGTTGTGTGTTGGGGGCCGTCGCTTTGTTTATAAATAAATAAATAAATGATTAAATTAAATAAATTACTTAGATCCTGGTGTATTTAAGCCGGTTAAGTTTGCAGGTTCGAGATGCACAAGTGAAAATAATTCACAAGACCTTGCAGACACTGTGCAAACTGCATTTTATCAACTCAGGAGACAGGACTCTTACGGGTGCGACCTGGTCAACTCAGAAGTAACAGGAGTTGCCTTATGACAATGTTTTGGGGCGTTTATACAGACTCCTCTATATCCATGCCATACAACTGCAACACATGGAAAAACAAGATGTTTGGAGACATCTCTAAATGTGCTGAAGTAATATAAAAAAGCACTGATGTTGCATAATAAACTTCAATGAGCTTAGCTAGAGTTATTTGTACAGTTTGATTTTACCAACCTCAAAATGAATACAGATGCTTTATAGCGAATTCACCAAAAAACAGAAGATAGTCACTTCTTAAAGGGGTTGCCGCAGCAGGCAGAAAACAGTTAAAAAAACGTCCAAACAAGGAAACGTCAACTGATCTTCTGTCATTGCAGTATTTCCTGGGTTCTTGTTTTTGTTCCGTCAAGTTATTTTTAATTGGCTACTGTCCTTAATCATATTGGCACAGGTCCAGCGTCATGAGGCAGCAGTATTACCTGTTTGTGCACTAGGCATTGTGTTCTGCAGGCCTCTTAAACAGTCACCAAATGTAACTTTGCAGCATCTACCTCAGGCAACACAACAGCTGTGGCAGAGAATACACTTCTACTTTGACCCGAAAGGTACCTTGCACAGATGTCCCCCCCCCGCCCCCCCACCCACCATGTGCAAGACAGCTTGACCTCAATAACGGTCAAAGGTCCTGGTGCGCAAAGCTTTAGTAGAGGAGCCTTAGGTAAGACCAGCCGCATCTGAAAGAGGGCCAATCAACACTCCTGACCCATAAATAGCAGAGATAGAGATCTGACATAAAGAGAGACCTAGACTTACTTATGACTGCTATACTAACTATGCAGATGAAGGTGTGGACCGATCTTGCAAGAGAGCTGAAGAAGCTGTTTACAGTAGCTTTTTATAACAAAGACAGTTACAGGAACCAGTCCAAATCATCAAGTATAGCTAGAGATGATTATAATACAGGATAATCATGTCAGTCAAGACCTGTTTGACTAGTTACACACTAAGCACAATCCTATATATATTGAGCAGGTTTTATATTAATAATGATGACAGAGACAGTGGCTCCCAAGAAATGACCATGCTCCATTGTCCTTATAGTTATGGAGAACAAGGCTGCCCCTTTCCTTTAGAGTGCATGCATGGAATTTATGACTAACGGTCACCGTCATCCACCTTGTTGGCACACAGGCCAGTCATGCATTCAGATTTTTGTTTAAAAAGTTGACATTCGTCGTCACCCTGTTTGCAAATGCACGCCGACTTGCTTTACACTTAACGTTTCACGTCGAGGGAATGCAGACACGCCTGCACAAAGCGGCACCCCCACACCATGTATACTGCCCAGCAATAATTGCAATAATTAATAAACAATTTGTAATTAATATGGTTATTTACATAATAGGTATTTATTAGTCAGCGGTTATAATGCTGCAGTTGACTCAGGCTTGGGTTTTCCAGGCTTCACTGGAGGAGGTGCCCTTGTGTTGTTGTCACATGGAGAGCGAGTACAGGAAGGCCCTCTGATTCATAGATATACAGGAGACACCTCAATACCTCTCTGCAGAACCGCAATTTGCAATGGCAGCCTATAGGTACTGAATTAGCCTGGATGCTATTAGCATGTAGCTCTGCTTCCTAGGGAGTGATCCACTTTTCTAGCCCCCCCCCATGGAAGAGCACCACCCCTGGCCAAACGAGTCCAACCATAGACTTGAGTGAGTGAGATGTGACTGATGCCAGAGGCCAAGGGGGCCAAACCATACCTGAAGTCATTCACACTACAGAATCTGTCGTCTGTTTTGCTTTCAGGGTTTCCTGGTTTCGGTCCCCCTCAGCAAGGCCTGGTGGGATATCGTGTGACAGGCTGCTGACGCGTGGGACCTGCCTTCAGCTAGACTCTGTCCGCACTGACAGACATGAGCCGGGCCAGGGTTGGGGGATGGGGGGGATGGACATCCGTCTATCCACCTGCGCAGGACTGACACGATGCTAGCTACCTGTCACCAACGAGCAGAACCTGTTACCGGACTCTTTAAAAGCCTTCCTCACTTGAGAGGTCTGATGCACAGGGCAGGTATCAACTGACACTTTGGAAAAGTGTAGGAATTTCATTGATGCTGCCTTAGTGATGTGCTTTTCCCCTTGCTGTGTCCTTCTTCATGAATGACCTTCGAGACTGCAACTCACGTGAAGCTACACATCCAGCAACTGTTGATGGATTTGTAGTTACAGAACTACCAGATGTTGTGACCAGATGGTTTACTGTTTATAGTACCGTGCAAAGGTCTTAGGCAAAAAGAAAATGTTTAAAACTATTTATCTGGGTACTACGTGTATATTTGTTCAGGAAAAAGACACAGTGATACATTTGAATATAAGCAAAAGAACGCAATAAAACAATAACACTAATTTCTTCCGTTCTCCACAAAGTT